TCTGTCTTCCTCTCATTAGCAAACTGAAATTAAGCAAAGAGTTTAAAAATATGAATGTTTACTAAATACGGATATCTTGATACATACCTAGAATTGTAGAAATATACTAAAGCAATCATTTTAACCGCATCACATTTTTTCTTAAAAAGAAAAAGATCAGATAATGTCCTAGTGAAAGTCGTAAGTAAATTAACTACTAGGAACTTAAAGCATTATATCCAAAGTCTTTCTGTTGATGTAAGTTTTTTAAAAATAGCTTTATGGATGTGAAATGTGAAATATTCTGTTTATCTCCCTAACTCTTCAATTATGATGAATTTGTATGTATAACTTATTTTAAGTGAAAAATAATTGAAGAAAAGTTCTGATAAAGTATTCTTGGTAGGAAGCATTCTCCTTTCTCCTTCCCCCTCAATGTACACCTGCCACAATTATTTTGGAACTGCTACAGTTTACTTAGTTTACACTTTTACAGCTAAAAATAAGTGTAACAGGCAGAAAATATATTATTCAATAAAATCAAATTGCTTTTTTGAAAATAGTGATTTCTACTTACAGACTTGTTATTTTGCATTTAGAAAATTAAGATGACTATTAGCTCCAAAATTCAAGAGTAAAAGTTGCCTTTGAACATTGTTATAAATAATCATTATCTGGGATTACTATTTTTATTCTAGGATGATACTTCTGGAAAAATTCTAAACTTGAATTTGAAACAGCAGTGTTTAGTTCCTCTGCAGAGACAGGATTTGTTAATCTAGCTCCTGATCAGTGAATCAGGTAGGTCATCTACACAGACACATCAGGATATTGCAAACATGGATTCATACCTGCATTATTACCTACAATTTATAAATTCTCACAAGGAATGCCATTTTATTGCTATTTAAATAATAATTATTTGTAATGCTTTTGTTATAAGTTAATAACAAACACCCTATAAGACCAGTGCTAGAAAACTAATAAATATTTTAATAGAAGGCATTACAATTCTAATTTTAGTGTAATATGCTTCCATAAAGAAATATATCTTCAAAATGCTATGAATAACTTAATGTCTATAACTTTAGACATGTAACAGTGCTATTGACAAAAATCTATTTTTAATTCTAGAGAAAAAAGCAAAACATATCAGAGAATTTGAGACCTAGAAGGGACCTTAGAAATACCTAGTCAAATTTCCTTACCTGCACATGAAGAAAATGAGATCTGGCCAAATTAGTTGCCTTAGCCAAAATTACAGAACTAGCTAGTGCCTGAACCAGTTCTCCTGATTCCCAGTCTAAGGTATTTGGTTTCAACAGTTCTTAGTATAATTTGTCCATAAAAAATGTAAGAAAAGCATGGATAGGGGAGTCAAAATTACAACATGTACAGTGATAAGGGACAATTTTTATGTCAATTTTAATTGATAAAATTATATAAGCATTTATAAAATGCAATGATTACCAGTAACAACAATATTTTTAAAGAATATTTTGTATAAGTGCTGGTAATATAGATGTTTAAGACTAATGTATTATGGTTATCAAAGGCAATCTTTGAAAAAGAAAGTAGCCCAAATTTTTAGACTCAAAGAATACTTAAATTTTAGTGTAAATGTATTTATTATTTTATGCAGATTTACACTCTCTTTAACTAAAGAATAAAGAAATTTCCTCTGAGGAAATGAAAGAACTCACAGAGCATTTCTGACATTTTATAGTTCACTAAACATTTAGATAAGCCTATCATTTCTAAACACTGTACAAGATACTGACATCACAGATGGTGAAGAAGAAAAAAATCTGTTCTCAGGTACGCACCTAGAAAGGGAGGCAGCCAAATGGAGTAGGAAGTATGGTATATGTTTCTCTGTCTTTAGGACTTTGTGACAGAAGGAAAAAAGAAGGAAGTATCTAACTGTAGAAGTGATGAGTTGGGAGAAGAGAAGGTAAAGGAGATGTTACAAAGGCTCCTCAGAAAAGGTAAGAATAATCTGTATCTGACAGAAGAGTATGAGTCTCTAAACAGACAAAATCTAAGGAGAGAACAGCGTGGTGCAAAGAGAGACATTACAGCATCTCTTGGAGGTCCACAAACACATTGGGGTAAAGATTTTGCCTTATCTTTTAGATATCATGAATCTGATACACTTGCAGAACACATACTAGATGGAGTTCTATAGGCAACTGGAAATAAATGTTTTAGGTTTAAGAGAAAGTTAGGTTGAAAACAAGAGTTGAAGCCATTAGGGAATAGGTGACTTGTGGATGAGACAGTCCAGGAAAAATGTACAGAATGAAAAGAGGATCAAAATGGAATTCTGAGAAATACAAGCACTTAAGGTCCAGCAGAGAAACCCAAATAGAAACTTTAAAAAAGGAAAAAGGAGAGAAATAAAAACTAAGAAAACAGGGTAAACTAAAGATGAATACTTCAAGGACAGAGTAGGCAATAGTGTACAATGCAGTAGATGTAAAGACTACAATGGGCTCACTGCTCCTGGTGGCTTTAGGTAAGAAGTAGTAATTATGAAGTGGGGTGGATGCCAGAGTAGAGCAGACTGAGTAATTAGTGAAATTAAGGAAGTAGGAGCATCCAGCACTGACTTTTCTTTCAGAAGGCTTATCTGTTAAAGTAGAGGAGACAAGAACAGGTGCTGATGCAATTAAGTTTACAGATTTGGTGGAAGGAATTTGAATTAAATTCTTATAATGGTTTCCATTTATTCTGAAGGAGAAGGTGAGGTCTTTTGCTAAGAGTCTGAAAAGAAGTGGTTGAGGAGAGTGAAGGCCAGAAACAGGCACTGTGGAGACAAGATCAGCTGTCCAGGAAAATCTAGGAATGTTGGGTATTTTTGTGGACCCAGGTAAGGTTGTGAAGAACCTATTATGAAATCACTAAAGAAAACCTTAAATATTAATACTGGTCTTGGCTATTTTGTCAGTAGGCAAGTACCTAAAACAAAGCATAGGAAAATTTTCTGTCTTCCTCTCATTAGCAAACTGAAATTAAGCAAAGAGTTTAAAAATATGAATGTTTACTAAATACGGATATCTTGATACATACCTAGAATTGTAGAAATATACTAAAGCAATCATTTTAACCGCATCACATTTTTTCTTAAAAAGAAAAAGATCAGATAATGTCCTAGTGAAAGTCGTAAGTAAATTAACTACTAGGAACTTAAAGCATTATATCCAAAGTCTTTCTGTTGATGTAAGTTTTTTAAAAATAGCTTTATGGATGTGAAATGTGAAATATTCTGTTTATCTCCCTAACTCTTCAATTATGATGAATTTGTATGTATAACTTATTTTAAGTGAAAAATAATTGAAGAAAAGTTCTGATAAAGTATTCTTGGTAGGAAGCATTCTCCTTTCTCCTTCCCCCTCAATGTACACCTGCCACAATTATTTTGGAACTGCTACAGTTTACTTAGTTTACACTTTTACAGCTAAAAATAAGTGTAACAGGCAGAAAATATATTATTCAATAAAATCAAATTGCTTTTTTGAAAATAGTGATTTCTACTTACAGACTTGTTATTTTGCATTTAGAAAATTAAGATGACTATTAGCTCCAAAATTCAAGAGTAAAAGTTGCCTTTGAACATTGTTATAAATAATCATTATCTGGGATTACTATTTTTATTCTAGGATGATACTTCTGGAAAAATTCTAAACTTGAATTTGAAACAGCAGTGTTTAGTTCCTCTGCAGAGACAGGATTTGTTAATCTAGCTCCTGATCAGTGAATCAGGTAGGTCATCTACACAGACACATCAGGAAAAGAGTTACTACCTCTTCTACAAGAGTTGATTTCTACAAAAATGCCAAGCATTACATTCAAATCTATTTACAAACTGTTACTTCTAAAGTGTTGCCACAAAAGATCAGCAATATCATTTGGGTTAAAACTGCTTTGAAATAAATCACAAGGTTATTCTTTCAAAAAGAAAGCACCTGATTTTTGACTGTGTTGTTCACAGAGGGAGATTTAAAACAGACACACACACACACACACACCATGCATGCATACATAACTTTCAGAAGTTACAGATGCAGTTTTTATAGTAAATACTAATAATGTTTGATTTTCTTAAAAACTACATTATTAAAAATTATAGTTAATTCATAAAAAATTATATGTACTTATTATTATTGCCATTAATGATGACCATTTATGTCAGCCACTGTGTTAAGACTCACATACATTATTTCATTTAATTCTCACAACCCCTCTGTGATATAATCATTACCTATATTTAAGTATGGGTAAATTGAGGTTTGAAGAAATTCAACTCACTCAATGACATATTTCAAATAAGGTAGGGAGCTAGGAGTTGAAATCAGGTCGATATGATTACAAAACCCATGTTTTTAACCAGTAGGCAAAGGAACTATTAATTTACTATATATTCCAATCCTTAAATGGATGATTTACACACACACAAAAAAAGGAAGAAAATCCCCACTAAGAATATTTCAAAAGAATCAATGTCTTACATAATTTTTCTTTATTGATTTTATTATCTGTTGATTTCTCCTCATATTCATTATATCTCCTAAAATAAAATGTTCTTATACTTAGAAAAATAATATTCCCACATAACCTGTCAATTTTTAGAACCATAAAAATAGTGCATGTTTCAAAAGTAACTATAGAGAAAAAGTATTCATTTACATATATTGTGTTACCCATCCTTATTTGTCCCAATTCTTCCACAAATCTTCACTGATCTAAATTGGTAGACTACATTTCTTAAAATTTTACTTATTGTTCCCTTGTATGTCTAAATTTACACAATCCAACTAATTATTAATAACAAAAACTTCTATGTTAAGCCCATAGTGATTAAATTATGTTAATGTTTCTTAGACCTCAAAACTACAGTGATTTGAAAATTTTTTAAAGAGTAGATATAAGACTAAGAAACAAGAGCATTTCTATTTTGAATAACTAGTCTTTGGAAAATAAATATCAAAGCTCAAATTTAGCCCATCCTTTCTTCTTACCTCAGGTTGACTGGAAATATTCAAAATGAGAGCCCATAATTCAGCTCTCAGTGCTGTGGGGCTTCCTTGTCTGACATATTGTTGAGCAGCAGCACTATCTTGTTCTGCTAGAACTGCCAAAAGTATATTAAAACCTCATTAGAAAATTCATATGGAAGAAATAACATTGTAATCTTTAATAACAAATCTTTTGGGAAGCTAACATTTTATCCTTTTTCTAGTACCATGTTGACAACCTTCTTTTACTCTCTGAATTTTGATGTGGCCCTATTTACAGCCCTATAAGTTTCAAGCCTTAAGCTCCTCTACCTCCTATCTCACATGGCAAAAATTTTAATGTAGGTAATCTGAGGTCACTTTGCTTTCACTATAGCTCCATGGATCTGAAATTAGTGGTTAATATATAAAATAATTTTGGATTTCATGATCAAGTAAAGTCATATCTACAGAAACCCTAAATTTCTTGTGCATATTGTACTAAGTCATGAATGGTCTAGTATTTGGAAGTAGTATGATATTGAAGTATTATGGCTAAGAATTACAAAGTACAAAGGGTGTAAGATATCCATTCTACTCGATGACTTCTTAGCTATCTGTCAAAATCAACTGAAAAATGGATTTTTAAAAGGAGTAAAAGCAAAAAACATCTGATAACCTTTTAGGAAGGCCAAACATTACTCTTGAAGAGTCAAATTCACAAAATTAATATGTTATGCTTTCACTTTTATTTTTATTTTTATTTTCTGTAGTGAAAATACCAGGTAGTAAGTCTGGAAATAAAAGCCCTCCCAAAACAAACAAAACCAAAACAGCAAAAAAAGACACACTAAACAACTGCTGATGCTTGTCTAATATACTGTTTTCTTACATTTCTTCTTCAAAGGGAAAAAAATCTTATACTAAATGAAAATAGCAAGACCAAAAGAAACAAAGAGATCAGGTGAAATAAAGAGACAAAACATATTCTTTAATTTGTGTTTAATGAAAATGCCAAATCATACAAATGAAGTCCTTTAAATATAGGTATGACTTTGAAAAATTGAAGTAGGGAGTTTAGCATATGACAATATAACTTCCACAGAAGGTTCATTTTGTCACAAACTTATCCACATTTCATATTTCAAAGATAAAACAGGATTTATAAAAACAAGGAAAAGAATCTTTAAAAGATGGGGGGAAATTATTCCCAGAACCCTAAGATCCACTTCAATTATTAAGCCTTACCATTGTGAACGGACAGTTACATTCTTTCCTGATGCAGGAACATACCCTTGTTAACACTAATGAGAAGTATGTGGACACATCAAAGAGAGAATCTGCCTCTTTGATTTTAAAATGAAATTCTGCTGAATGGACTAAGCGAACATCCTTGAAGAATGTGTGTCTGCATTTATTATTTCCTTTTTAGTAAACCACCCATGTACTTCTTTATCTGACATTAACAAACCCAAAATGATGTCTCTCCTCTTTATAAAGATTCTCATGATATTTTCTAAGTAGCTGAATATTACCGCTTTTTAGGTTTTCAGCTTTTCAGAGATTAAATTTCAGTTGTGGGTATAAAATATAGACATTTACTTAAGACTGTTTAATTTTCAGAAATTGTCATAAGAATAATCAAAATGAGCTTACCTTTTTGCCCAATACGTACATGCTCATTTTCAAAAAGTTCTAAAAATGATCAAATCAAATAAAATTATCAGATACAAATATGATCCATTACAATTAAAACAATATTAGGTATATTTTTTCTGGTATTGACACTTTAAATTATTTTTAAGGCTGAGTGTCTCTAGAATAGAAAACTTTAAGAATATTTATCTTTATGTGTAGAAAAATTTATTTTTCTAAGTTGTTTAAAGTTTATAGAATTAAAAGGGAGTTACATACATTTAATTAGAGGAAAAAATTGATAAACCAATTTTCCTTTGTTAAAATAAGAGTATCTTCTCATAAGACAAAAACATTTTGTGCTTTATCTTTGATATTTTTCCTAAACAAAACAAAACATTTGACAGCTTCATTTGTAAAGCCCTACTTCTACTCTAATTTACCATAAAAGCATATTTAATATAAGTCTTAATACTATTATAGGTAAAATCTTAGCATTAAAAATGCCATTTAAAAAAGAGAATATAGGAGATGCAATGATTTGACTTAAAGTACCATTCATACTGGGAAAATCTCATAAACTAGACCATATTAAAATTTTTAAAAAACTTCTGTTCATCAAAAGACAGCATTGAAAGTGAAAAGGTAAGTCACAGAGTAGGAGAATATATTTGCAATACATATGTCTGAGAAAGGACTTGTATCCAGAACATAAAAAGAACTCCTGGTAAGTCAATGAGATAAACACAGGCAACTACCTGACACACATAGGCAAAAGACTTGAACAGGTTCTTTACAAAAGAGGAGATCCAAAGGACCAATAAAGTCATGAAAAGATGCTCAACCACATCAGTCATCAGAGAAATGCAATTAAAACCATTATGAAATGCACACCCACTGCAATGGCTAAAATGAAAAGGATTGACAATTCTAGATGCAAAGGAAATGAAGCAAAATGCGCTTTTCATAAAAAGGTGGTGAGAGTTTAAATTATGTACAACCACCTTGGAAAACTGTTTGGCAACATCTATGAACACTGAATATATGCACATCCTGTGACAATTAGCAATTTACTCTCGAATACATACATATATGCACCAGGAGACATATACAGGAATATTCATACCAGCACTATTGATAATAACTAAATAGTGTAAACAACTCAAATGATCATCAATAGTAGAATGGATAAATAGTAGCATATTTATATACTGGACTACAATACATCAATGAGAATAAATGATATATGACTACACAAACACTATGGATAATCTCACAACAAACATTAAGCAAGAGAAGCTAAACACAGAGTACATACTGTATGATCTCACATCTATAAAGTACAAACAGGCAAACTAACCTATGATATCAGAAGTCAGGAGAGTTGTTACCCATGGGGATGGTAGAGTCTGGAAGTCTAAGTAGGCTTCTGAGATGCTAGTAATATTCTATTTCTTGATCTGGTTGGAGGTTTCACAACTGTGTCCACTTGTAAAAATTCACTGATCTGTATACTTGTGATTTGTGTTCTTTTCAATGTGTACATTACAAAAGTTATATATGTATAAAAGTTACTTTAAAATTAAAGCAAAACAAACAAGATTATAAAAATCTTGAGGGGGAAAACTTTCAACTTTTCTCCCCACTCTAGAGAAAACCAGCTTTCAATTTCCTTTCCTCCTCTTTCTCCTTACTACCTGAGAAAGGATGAGCTGCTAATTTTGGATTTCTTAGATTTTATGAGCTCTTCTTTCTCACAGGGCATCTATCTGATGAATGTTTCATGGAAAACACTTCAGGAAAAGCTGTGAAAACTGACGATACTTTTTTCTTTTAGAAATAAGCGGTAAAAAGTGTCTATTTAGCAGAATCCCCGTCAAGATTTGTTATTATCTATATGTAGACAGTGTCACACATATGATCCTCCATTATTATAAAGTATTATGAAAGAATGCTGATCCTGCTCACCATTTTAGCATCGGCCTTATAATTTCCATAGTAAATATGCTGTGTATTCACGTGCATATTTAAAATAAATGCATATTCATGAGAGTTTGTAGGAATAATAAATAAGCCTGCTTTTTTATTATTGTTAAATAAGGATTCTGTACTACACAGGGAAGGACTTTTGAGGAATGCGCTTCAAACATAAAGATTGTATAATAGTATTGATAAAACATAGATAATATGGGTTTTTAAAGATAAGTAAGATATAGTTCCCTTGAGTCACACATAGCTTAATCCTAAATTTAAAATTTGCCTCGAGCCAAACACAAGTATTAGCAACATCTTCAAACATTTATCAATAGATCCAATTTAACCAAAGTCATAGACACAGGCTAAAAAAATAAAAGTAACAATGAATTTTAGGCAAAAGTCGTCATACATGACACCACTCTTGTTTTCAAGTAATATTGCTCACTGGCAATCCTCATGTCAGGCAAAAATCCATGTACTCTGCCACCAGAAACAATCTCATTCAATGTACACTAACTTAACCCAATTTTTAGCAGTCCTGCATTGAGAAGCAAAGACAACAAAAATAACTGTATCAACTGAAGAGATTATCAACCTCCTTGAGGCCGACTTGGGTGTTCTCACCTCTGCTCCAAATGCCCCTTGTATATTATCACAGCAAATACCACTTTAATTCTTATCCTGAACCTTATTTTCTACTGTATCTTCCCTAAGATGTATTCACTAGTCCTTGGCCCTTAGCAGGCCCATATTGTACTATGAATGATTCAAGGGAAAAATAACTATCCACTAGATTAAGAAAAAAATTAGGTTTTCTAAAGCATAGCTACTATAAGATTAAGAATAATTTTAAGCAATTCTTAAGGATTTTTCAAAGGTCAAAAGCATAAATATCATTTAAGGTTGTATTGTTATTTCCTTCTTATTTTGTTACATATGGCTATCACTGGCCAAGAACAGAAATATAAGATGTCTGTCTTAGTCTCTTCAGGCTGCTATAAAAAAATACCCACAGACTGGGAAGTTTATAATCAACAGACATTTATTTCTCACAGTTCTGGAATCTAGAAATCCAAGATCAAGATGCCAGTATGATTGGATTTTGGTGAAGGCCCTCTTCTGGACTGCAGACTGCCAACTTGTCACTGTATCCTCACATGACAGAAGGGGCTACAGAACTCTTTCATAATGTCACTAAATTCCATGCTTGAGGGCTCTGCTGTCTTGACCTAATCACTTTCCAAAGGCCCCATCTCTTAATATCATTACCTTGGGGATTAGAACTTCAACACAAACATTCAAACCATAGCAATACCTTTTTCTATAAGATATCTGATATCATCTTACAAGACAAGAAAAGACTATCTAAGGGATAAAGAGGGGAGGTAGACTGCTTAGTTTTGAATCTTGGTTTTACCACTAACTAGCTCTCTGACCTTGGGCAAGTTACTTAACATCTCCATTTCTTCAACTTTAAAATGGTAGTAATACTTTTATCTCACATTATCCTAGAAAATTAAAACCACAATGCATTGTCACTATACACCATCAGAATGACTAAAACAAAAGATGTAATACACGAATCATTAGCAAGCATATAGAGCAACCACTACTCTTATACATTGTTGGTGGAAGTGTAAACTAGTACTATCACTTTTGAAAATCTTTGGCAGTTATCTATTCAAGCTGAACTTATGCAAACTCTAGGGTGGAGAAAGTGAATTCCCAGATATATACACTCAACATATACATCTATTCACCAAAAGACACATACTGCGATATTCATAGTAGCCTTATTTGTTATAGACTCAAACCTGAAACTTCCCAAATACCCATCAACAGTGAAATGGATAAACAAATGTGTGATATATTAATACAATGGAACACTATAATGCAAAAAAATGGTGGCTGAATCTCACAAACATAATGTTGATCAAAAGAAGTCAAACTTCAAAGGATATGTACTGTATGCTTCCATTCATATGATATTCAAAAATTGTCAAAACTAATCTATAATGTTAGAAATCATAATAGTGGTTTCTTTGACATGGGGGATAAAGATTGAAAGAGGGTGGGGAGGGGCTTCAGTTTATTGATCTGGGTGGTATTTTAATAGGTGTATCCAACTCATAAAAATTCATTGAGCCATTCTCTTACAATATATGTACTTTTCAATATGCATTATACATTAATAGCACATAGCATGTGCTCACTATTTATTATGTTTTTTATTATTAGCAATTACAATACTTATATCATTAATTATAACATTAATAATATTATTAGCAATAATAATGAACAGTCAACTTCCCTATTGCATAGAGGGAGAAACAAATGCAGAGATGTAAAGTGACTTGTCCAAGTCACACAGGTCTAAGCAATGGCCAAGGAAAAATTAGAACAGTTTCCTGACTCCTGTCTAATATGATTCCCACTACAATATAGGCCTCCCATATTTTAGGTTAATTTTTACTTTCTGGTTATTATAAAGCTAAATACCAATTTGGTCTTTATGAAAATCACATTGTGTTTATGTGCTAAAAGAGAAAAGGTAGGGAAATATTCTGGGTGATTAAAGTTTATAAGATATCAGTTTTAAATCCTAAGTTTATACAAGGTCAGTGTGTAATTAACTTTCTGATATGAAAAATAATAAAAATAGATTGTGATGGCCAGTAAAGGGAAATAAGAGTGCTGCCAATGAAGATTTTGCCAACAAAATGACTTATGTATGTTAATGACTTTTCAAAATTATTTTACAGACCTTCAAATAAAAAGACAAAATCTAGTTGAACCTGGTCATTACATGTGAGATTCTATTCAATAATTAGTAATAACCAAGGAGAGGCAAAAAACATGCTTAGTTTTCAGACATAAAAATGTAACTAGATTAATTTGGAAAAGACAAGTTAAGCCTTAAACTCACTCTTATTTATTATGTGCCATTTATTATGTGCCACATGGAAGAAATACTAACCAGGAGGCACTTGTGTAGAATCATCTATACCCAGTTGTCCTGTAGTTAAGCCGAGTTCTATGAAGAATTCTTTCTGAAAAATAACATACATAGAGTTAACATACATCTCAAACTTTGCTACATACATTAGTTAAAAAAAATCACTTTCACCTAAACATCACCTTAAAAAAAAAATCACATTTTAAAATGAATCTTTGCTTCATTCAAAAATCTAAAAAAGGAAAGGATATTATTAAGCCTTAAATAGTAATGCATTAGTCCAAAATTTTGCCTTTTTAGGTAATAGGCTAATCAGTAAATAAGGAATGATAATTATCTTTTTGAGCAAGAACTAATTACATTCAAATCTTTCCCAAGACATACACACACACAAAAAGTACTTATCAATTTTGCCTTCTAAATTCATTGCCTAAAATTACCAATATAATTCTGTATCTGTGCTTTCTATGGTACTTCACTCAGCTTTTAATCAACTAACCACTGCAAATATCCAAAACAACTTAAATTAATTTTAAAGCAAAATTAGACTACCAAGTGCTCTGCTAAAATAAGTATAAATCAGATTTATTGTCCAGACATCCTCTACTTATCTAGTAATGTCTAGGGAAAGTAATCATGTTTGTTGATTATTTTTTTAAATATGTAACAATCCAATATTACTCACTTTATTTTTATTCCCTAAGTAATTAAATATTTCTATTAATATTTGCCTCAGCGTTTGTTACCATTCTAATTGCTAATACCAAACTTCCTTCTCCTTTAAAAAATGGAATTAGTTTTAATCCTTCATAATTATCTATTATAATTTAAGTTAGTAATTTATTTGTGTCCTTCATAAGAGCTATTCAGTGTAAAACACACACATTTCATTTTTGTATTGATTTTAAATAACTGCCAGTATATTTCAATTTTTAATTAAACTTCGCTTTTATCTGTGTTTTTAAAAAGCACTGCAATTATGTTACCAACTTTAATAACTAAAACGGGAAAAATTTAATGTTATTCTTCCATTTCAACCAGTTTTCCATTTATTTTAAGTATTCTTCCTTCATTGAAATCATTAGAATTGTTGGCATAGTAGGGGGCTTAATAAATACTGAACCACGATACTGAGCTCTAGTTCCAACCTGCTGTTCTACATAACTGAATTAGTAAACAGGAATTAGTCAGCAACTTCACTTTAGAGCTAATAAATTTCAGTTGCAAGAAATTTCCTTTTAACACAGATGAGTCTAGGTTTAAGAACCATCTATTATGGGATCCTAAGACTCACTGAGTCTCGCCAAGTTCAATACTCCCACAGACAGAACAAAGTCACAGATAAACCATGCCTCCATGAGTCAGAATCATTACATCACCAGGCCACATGATTCAGGAAAGGGAGGGACAACTCTCCCTAACAGCTGCAGGAAAATAAAAAACTAACCATACTTTTAGAGCAGCCATAATATTTTGAACTTTAGCCATAGGCTTTTGGTTCTCCAACAGCTAAGAATGAATCCACATCAGTTCCAAGTCCCCTTCAGACAGACAGAAGACATAATTAGTCCCACTCACAAACATGCATTATTCCCTCCCTGCTTTTTTATCTAGCAACCTCCTTCAACTTAGTTCAAATGACAGTACCTCTGAGAAGACTTCCTACTACTTCCACAAGAATCTGCTACTTCCTTGTCTATACAGCCATAGCACTTTGTATAAATTACTACTACAAGGACTTCTAACACTTTAAAAGTAATTTGCAAATTAATTTTTTATCAAAGTTGGAGTGGTAATGGTTAATAGTTATATACTGCTTATTACTATGTTCCAAGACGATCTATATGCTTGATAAATTCATTTCCTGAGGCTGCCATAAAAAAAAAGTGCACACACTTCCAGTTGCATGCATTCCTTGCAGGGCTGGGAAGCAGCATCTGGTTGCCTGTCAGGACTTCCAATGAAGATCTACCTGACATACTGACATGCTATGTTTTCTGTCCTATCCTATATCATTCTACAAATGTAAGTGAACCTGTTACCAGGTTATGGTCTATAGTATACTGTGAGTGTGAATATAAATCAAACCTGAAATAACTATTAGTGGTCATGGTAAGCACTCATACCCTAAGTTAGATATTTCTTCTTTATTTTTTTACTTGTTTGTTTTCATTTTGGTCTCTACTTTTCAAACTGGAAGATTTCAAATATCTGGAGATCCTAGGCTGATCAGTTGCACTTAAAAATGAAGCAATAAACAACTGACTGGAGGCTCTGTCTGCAAGGATTGAGCATAGAGTGCAGTGGGCTTCACTGTGAAGTAATTTTATAGCTATCCAGATTTTTTTTTCTGTAAGAGTTCTCCAAATTTCTGTTAGCCCTTTCTGTGGCATTCTATTGTTGGTGGAGGGTGGGAGAGGAGAGAACAGGGCAGGCATATGGTATGGTAGGGGAGGAGGGTATTACTCTTACCATTTGGTCTTTCTGATTCTGTTTCTCGAATAAATACACCTCTGGTCTCTCGTGGGGGAGAAAGAGTCACCTGAATATGCAGGGTGGTAGGAGTCTGGGGATTTTAACACCTCCTGACAGAGCTTGTACGTAATCTCATTTTTAGCTCTATGGCTCACTAATACCTTCTGTAATATGTAGGATCTCCAATTACTGAGCCTTTCCAAAGATCTATAGAGAAAAATCATCTTGCTTCTTGTACCAATCAGTGTCCAGACAGGAAATAGAAACCATACCAGAAATATGAACAGGGAAAAACAGAATTAGCAAATGCAGAAAGCAACAACTTTTTTTTTTTTTTTTTGGAGAATGCACCAAGAAGGAACTAAGAACTGAGGAAAGGATCCCCCTGCCCTCAAGACTGAGACTCAGACTTTCAGAGAGGGAGTGGGTACCACAGGAATATGCAGGCCTAGGGTAGTCAAGAAATCTGCTGAAGAGTACAGCCTGGAGCTGGTTGGCTGCAGGCTGCCGAGGTGTGATGCATGTGCTTCTGGGCCTGCTGGGTGCTGATTTGCTGGCATCCATGCAGATACCAGGCAGGGAAGCCCCTTTCTCCTGCTATGGTCTTGCAGTGTTCTTCTATTGATAAAACCTAACATCAAGCCAGCTGGCAAAAGAGCCAGTTCCAGTATGATGAAGAAGAGCAAAAAAAGGTAGATTTGGAGCTGACATAACCAATCGAACACTGGCACACTTATCCATACCTTCCATCTTCAAAGGTATTTAGGCTTGACCTTCTTCCATGCTTAGGCCCACCACACTTCCATTCATCATTCTCCCATCAACTTTCTAGCTAATACATTAATGCTTAGAGTTACAAGTTCTTTCCTAGTTTCACCAAAGACAGTATTTACATTTCTGTGCTCCTTATTGTTTTGGGGGTGCTTAAGAAAAGAAGGAATGTCAATTTCTTAACTCAACCATCAGGAGATATCCTCACCTTTCTATAATTACTCTACTTTAAAACTAACTTCCTCACCAAAAAGTGACAGTCTCCAGAGCAAAGTCTCCACCTCATCTTTCTTTCCCTGATCTGCCTCAGTGCCTCACAGGGTTAAACTTAATAAAGGTTGGTTGAATTAAATAAAATGTACATTCTTTAACAAATTTTTATAAAATTCACAACCTGATTCGATCAGTTTTATAGCTATACATCAGACAGCTGAATCTCAATAAGCTGTCTTAGAAATGTATGCTGTTCATTAAAATGAGGAATAGCAAAAGCTTTTATAGGCCAATAAAAGCTTATCTTTAGTCCTACTAGCATAGCAATTCACTCTCAATATAACATATGGGCAATAACAAATAAACTTTTCAATTTATTCACTTATTTAATGAGCAGATTATCCTACTGTTTTAGGTATATGTTGCACTAAAATACTTTTTGAATGGTGTCTTGTAAAGTATGTTAATTTATTTTTAAATGCCTATACTTACCAATTCAGGGATGTCTTTTACTTTCAGAGGAACTTGGATTAAACCCAAATGAGTCCTGAAACTAGGAGAATCACCATTTTCATAATTTGGGTTGCGAAGATTAACTAATACCTTTAAAAACAAATCCAACAAAATTGGTTAATTTCTTTACAGGTTGTTTACACTTAAAATTTGCGGTGATATTCTTGGTGTATCACCACAAAACTAAAAACTACTTGGGGTTATGTATAAATTTTAATTACATTCTAAAAGACTACAAAATTGTGTTGAAATGTTAAAATACCACAAACATGCTTCTTAATTTAATATCCCAACTGATGACCTACCATATAAACCTCTAAATAAAGTTAAGAATTTAGTTAGAATGGAAAACCTTTTGATAGTAATAATAAATAAAAGTTACTTGATTGTAATACTTTACCAGGGAAGGTAACAAAAAATTAAAATTTCTTGATTGCAATACCTGCCAGGGAAAATTTTAGAAACAACTCTAACCCTTTTGAGAACAGATATTGACAAAGATGGTGGAACAACAGTGCAGGGTATTAACTCTAAAACAAACCCACAAAGATTAAAAGAAGAAATTCTAGAAACCAAGCTAACAAGAAAGACCATTTACATTTTCTGTAAGTAAGCAGATACAGAAAATCTTAGGTATTTGTGTGTCCTTTAATCTAGGAATCTTACTTCTATGAGTATGATTAGGGAAATAATTAAAGATGTTTGCAAAAAATAGTACAGAAAGAATGTTCATGAAGTTCTTTTATAACAAAAAATATGAAAAAGTTTAAACATTCATTATAGGAAATTACTTAAATTATGGTTAATTCACATAACAAAATAATGTAATATGCCCCAATTAATATAGGTAACATAGGTAATGACATGAAAAAATGTTCACAATAATTAAGTTAAGATAATTAGTTTTGTAGTAATGGTAATGTATATTGCTATGTTATGGTATTATGTGTAATTTTTAAATGAAAAATTTTTTCTTTAAAATTTGTTTCCTATGTAAGGTTTTTAAAAATTTTTCTAACAACTAACATAGTTTTGGGAAAGAATAATAATAACTTTAAAATATTTTTGAATTGAAGCTCTTGAGGGCAAGATACCATCAAGAATCCAGTGAAGGAGATTATGGTGGCAGAAACACAATCATATCCAAGGAAGGCAGTAATGAATTAATAACTAATGGCTGATAAAATGGAATGTGCTATAATGCCGACAGAGTTTCCTAAAATTGCAAACACTAAATTAAAATTAAAAACATCAGTGGTATTGGCTTTAAAAAATAAAAGATTTAGCAAAGAATCAACAGTGTTAAATACAGACTATGTCCTACCAGCACAGCAACTCACTCTCAATATAACATATGGGCAATAAAAAAATAAACTTAAATGGTGACATTTAAGTAAAGATGTAAGGAGTTAGGGAACATGCAGGCAGGTTACCTGGTGAGAAAGCACTGTAGGCAGGGAAAACAAGGAGTAAAGGCCCTCAGATGGGAGGAAGCCCAGGGAAAACAAGAAGGCTAATGGAGCTGGAGTAGTAAAAGTAAGATGAGATGGATTCAGAAAAGTAATGAAGTATCAGATCAAATAAGGTGTTTTAGGCCATTGCCATGACTTTGGCTTTTAAGTAGAATGAGATAGGAAGCCACTGGACACCAGAAGAGTGGCTTATTTGGAATTGTACTTAAAAAGCTTCTTCTGGGAACTTGAACCAAGAACAGATCCTAGGTAGACAAGGGTAGAAGCAGGAAGAACAGTTAGTAGCTACAGCAACAGTCCAGACGTGAGATGAGAGCCTGGACTAGGGAGGTAGGAGTGGTGGTGATGAGAAGTGGATGGATTCCAGACATATTTTTAAGATAAAGTGGACAAGATTTGCTGATGGACTAATAACACGTGAGGTACAAGAGAAAGAGTGGAATCAAAGATGGGTGAGTTAAAATAATTAGTGAGTTGGGCTAACTGCCTACAGAAGAGTTCCACTCAAATACTGGATATGCCTCTCAAACATAATTACCCTCATCGTCTTCACTAATGGTCCTGTTCCTCTCCTCTATTCTCTCTCAAGGGGAAGTTACCTCTGCCCAATTACCCAATCTAGACTTAAAGGTCATCCTTATCTTTTCTATTTCTCACATTCCCCATATCTAATCAGTTCCCATATCCTCCCTAAAATGTCTTTCAAATCTGTAGAATTCATTCTATTTCTAATGCTCTTCTCTTGGTTCAAACCATCATCATACCTTGTCTAGACTACTAGAACAGGGAGGGACTAAAAAGGGAAAAGATGCACTGAACACCTATATGTGCCAGGCAGCAGGCTACCTGATTAACAGTCACTACTTTTCAATCAAAATCTTCCTAATAGATTTACCTGTGTCTAATATTTCCACATTCCATTGTATTTTCCAAGAGCAATTTTTCAGACACAAATCTGAACATGTCATTCCACCCCCTTAATGGCTCTGGGGCTTTTTACATGGTGATCTCTCTGTCTGGAGATATTCTTATATCATTTCTTTCACAATTTTCCCTTATTAATACATATATTTACCCAACAGAACCTACCTCAAGAAAATCCTTAGGTGCATAAACAGGTCTGAAAAGGCTTAAATCTAGGATTAATAAGACAGATTAAAACAAAATTTAGTTCATTTATTATATGAATACATATTAGTAATAAATGTTAATGGTCTTTCACACATTGCTGTGCAGCTAGATTAATTCAAACACTTTCAGAGTATCAATTATTTATCCTAGATTGTGTTAAGTATTGGAAACGAAAAATTTAAAGACAGTCCCTCCCCTTGACAGTGTAGATGATATTCTAGAAGAAATTTAAGAGTCTCTTTTCATAAAATTATAATTAACTATTTATAATTACATAGAAAAAAATATCAATATTTATAAAAGTTCTATATGAGAATTCTCAGGGTACACAGAATCTAGTAGTACTAATGCAGGTTTAGTGAATTCCTCTAATATTGAACTGTTCTCCCTTTTGAACTTCTGTAACAGTTTTCACTATTATGGCACTTAGTTCTTGCCAAGTCCCCCACCTGTTTTTTTTTAAACAAAAATTATGAGGGATTATGTACATATTTACACATGCAATTATAGACATCTACTTATTATAGTAAATGATATATAGTCACTCATTACATGTTTATAAAATTAACTCCATTGTAAACATTACATAAGAATTAAAATAAATTCTTAAAAACATTTCAGAAGTCTTAAGACTTTATACCATTTCAGCTGTCTCTAACATCTCAATGTAATTAAAGCTTAAAAAATATTTACTTTAATTATGAATCTAAGAACTCCACTCAAAAGATTTAATTTACTCTTTTATAAAAATGTTTTTCAAATGCTGCTTTAAAAAAGGATTTAAATATTCTCAAAATAATACAGAATACTGACAAAAGTTAGGAATTTTTAAAATGCAAAGTAGAAAGGTAAGCAAACAAAATAGATCATGGTTAATCAGTGTGGAAGAAAATTTGCTGTCTTTCCAAAATAAATGTTAATATTGTTATTTTGGATCCACAACTAAGATAATTTTTTCCACTACCATATTTTGAAAAAAAGTTCTTCATATACCTGGCTCATCAGTTCCCATTTCATTCCATTTACTGAGAAGTTCTTTCTGTTCTCCAACAGGCCTCTAAAAAAGGTAATTTTAAAATTGTTTTCATTTTGTGAAGTTTAGCTATGCAGCTGAAAAATAAGAATCAGTAACTTACCTAACAGTTTAAATAAGCTACTAAAACATAAGGAAAAATAATTTCATTACATATTGTGAACATTTTTTGGAGTTACATTTCAATTATTTAGCTATTATATCTAGTCTCAATGGCTCAGTTAGAATATAGGGCTGAGTCCAAGAAAAGGTAAGTGATCGGGGCTGGCCAGTAAATTTCACAAAGAAAAACTGATCCTCAGTCACATACTACATCTCTTGCTCCATCCAGCAATCTCAGAAATGCATCACAAGGGGGACTGGCCAAGAGAGTATGACTGTGAGTCAGTAACATCATCTCTCTATATGAAAGACAGTATATTACACAGTACTACATATTTAGACAGTTTTTCATATAAATTCATCCTTTTTGTACACCATCCTTCTGATGCTTTCAGTGGCTTGTCCTTGGATATTATCCAAAGTATATCCACCATATCCTATCCAACAACAAGGAATAATAGCAGGTAGGGAAAATGAAATGAGGAGAAACTTGTTCTCTTTTACTCATGAGCAACTATAAAGAATCCAAAACATTCCTAAAGTGGTCTCTCCTTTTTTATCTCTGCTCTCTCAAAGCCCAGAGTGACAGATAAATGTTGAGTATTAAATCTAAGTAGATCTAATACTATTAAATCTAAGTAGTTCTGCAGAGAAATGACAAACCATTCCCTATATTAATACTGAAAGATGGTACCATATTGGCTGTTATAATGCCTAACACTCCACCTTTAATTTTAAATAGTATAGTATTTTAAAGTTCTAAAATAGTGATAGTATATCTCTAATTTAAAAAATATGGCTACTGCACTAATTGGGCAAAAGTAAGGAGATTAAAAGCAATGTATACTGCAGATTCTATACTTCATTTCTATCTATTCTCAAGATACAACTCCATTACAAAAAGCATTAAAGCATATATAATAGAAATTTATGAAGAACACACCCATATAACTGGTCTTTTGCAGATATTTTTGTTTCAAAACACTAATATCCTAGTAAAAAAGAGAGAAACCTACCTAACAGTTATAACTTCATGATACTTCCTAGTACTTGATTCACAATAAAATGCTTAAATGTTTGGCATCGACTCAAAAAAATTATGGCAGCTTGAGAAGTGAGATGAAAATCTCTTCCCAAGATCACATATATTATGAAAATACAGCAAATAAAATGACTCCTAGAAGAGTGACCAGAAGTAGGAGTGCATCAGCCAGTCTACATTTGGAAGAGGTGAACATCTGACCGAAAAGAGTAAAGTAAAAAAGTTGTGACCTGGAGGGACCTGAGCACTACCCCCACCGCAGCCCACCACAGGAGGAAGAGAATCAGAGAAGGGAGGGAGTAAAGCCCAGGACTGCTAAATACCTAGCCCTAGAAATCTACTCTGGGAGCACAACCCACATTGCATGGTACTCTGGAGATTAGAGCAGGTGAAAACCAAAGTCAGAGACTGAGACTGCAAATAGGCTCCACAACTAGCTGCTCTGGGACAAAAGAAAGGCAGGCGCTTTGAAAGATTTCTCAACAGTGAGAGGGCTGCTAAAGGGGCAAGGGTTTAGGAGAAGGAACAGATGGACAAAATCTTCCCAGCACACTCAGTCCAGCAGTTGGGAAATTTCAGGAGCTTCAGGTGCTCCATCCCCCTGACTAGCAATGCAGCCCCAAGGTGCCTCACTGCAATAAGCAGCTTGCTATTTCTACCTCCCCACAGGCACCTGTGCACATATCTGCTGTCCCTCCATTGTTTCAAATGAGCTGGAAAGCAGCCCTGCCTACAGCACCTACACAGCTTAACACAGAGGCTTCTCCCTGTGTGCAGCTAACCGGCTCTGACAGCAGGGCAGGCACTGCTACCAGGAAGGAGGAAAGGGCTTTGCCCTCCTGGCAGACACCCGCACCACTCACCAGCGACCCCCGCCATTGCTCCAGGTCAGCCCGAGAGCAGCTCCATGCACAGCAGTTTAGGGAATTAAACCAAAATCTGTGCCCTGCGTGTGGCTCACAGGTCCTGGCAGTGGAGACAGGCACTATGACAGGAAAGCAAGAAAGGGCTTTCTCCTCCCAGCAGGCAACAGCCATTTGCTTGCGACCACTTGCATCACTCCAGGCGCTGAGCAGCTCTGAAGAGAAGAGCTTCTGGGCACTAGGGGGCACCACCTGTACAAACCTAATATTTCTCACTATCCAATAGGATTATGAAAAGGCAGAAGAACCTTGTTCAATCCAAAATCCATCAAATACCAGAAACAGGACTCTGTGAGACTACTTTCACCAATCTTCCAGGAAACGAATTCAAAATAAAAGTCATAAGCATGCTAATGGAGGAACAGAAAAATATTCAAGAGTTAAGGGATGAATTCATGAGGGAGACAGACACCTTAAAAAATACAGTAGCTGAGATGAAACAAACAATGGATGGATTTAAAAGCACATTAGATGAGATAGAGGAAATGGTAAATGCAATAGAAACTACAGAACAGGAATGCAAAGAATCTGAGGGAGAGAGAAAAGGACCTCTAGAAATGAAATAATATTACAACTGTTTGACCAATACAAACAGAACAATATTCATATTATAGGGGTAACAGAAGAAGAAGAAAAAGAAAAAGGTATAGAAAGTGTATTTGAAGAAATAATAGCTGAAAACATCCCCAATCTGGGGAAGGACATAGTCTCTCAGGCCATGGAAGTCCACAGATCTCCCAACACAAGGGACTCTAGAAAGACAACACCAAGACATATAATAATTAAAATGGCAAAGATCAAGGACAAGAGCAGAGTATTTAAAGTGGCCAGAGAGAGAAAAAAGATCATTTACAAAGTAAAACCCATCAGGCTATCATCAGACTTCTCAGCAGAACTCTTACAAAGCAGAAGGGAGTGGCATGATATATTCAATGCAATGAAACAGAAAGGCCTCAAACCAAGAATACTCTACCCAGCAAGATTATCATTTAAATTTGAAAGATGGATTAAACAATTCCCACATAAGCAAAAGTGGAGGGAATTTACCTCCCATAAACCATCTCTACAGTGTATTTTCAATGGACTGCTCTAGATGGAAGTTCTCCTAATTCTAAATACCTGTCATGAGAGAAAATGAAACCACAGTAAAGGAAGTAGACCAAATAAATATTAACCAAATGCAAAATTAAATCAGCTACCCACAAAGTCAGTCAAGGGATACACAAAGAGTACAGAATATGACACCTAACATATAAAGAGTGGAGGAGGAAAAAAAGAAGGGAGGAAAAAAAGAATCTTCAGATTGTGTTTATAACAGCATAATAAGCAAGTTAAGTTAGACTGTTAGACAGTAAAGAAGCTGCCCTTGAACCTTTGGTAACCATGAATCCAAACCCTGCAACGCTAATAAGAACGTATCTATCAATAATCACCCTAAATGTAAATGGACTAAGTGAACCAGTCAAAAGACATTAAGTTACAAAGTGGATAAAAAGCAAGTCCCATCTATATGCTGCCTATAAGAGACTCAATTCAAACCCAAAGACATACACAGACTAAAAGTGATGGGATGGAAAAAGATATTTCATGCAAAAAATAGGGAGAAAAAAGCAGGAGTTGCAATACTTGTATCAGATAAAATAGACTTTAAAACAAAGAAAGTAACAAGAGACAAAGAAGGACATTATTAATGATAAAGGGATCAGTCCAACAAGTGTATATAACCATTATAAATATCTATGCACCCAACATAGGAGCACCCAAATATGTGAGACAAGCACTAATAGAATTAAAGGGGGAAATGGAATACAATGCATTCACTTTAGGAGACTTCAACACACCTCTCACTCCAAAGGACAGATCAACAAGACAGAAAATAAGTAAGGAGACAGAGGCACTGAACAACATATTAAAACAAGCATCTACAGAACACTTCACCCAACAGGAACAGGAAACACACTCTTCTCAAGTGAACATGGAACATTTTCCAGAATAGACCACATACTAGGCCACAAAAAGAACCTCAGTAAATTTAAAAAGATTGAAATTGTACCAACCAAATTCTCAGATCACAAAGGTATAAAACTATAAATAAATTGTACAAAAAAAACAAAAGGGCTCACAAACACATAGAGGCATAACAACATACTCCTAAATAATCAATGGATCAATGACCAAATTAAAACAGAGATCAAGCAATATATGGAGACAAATGAAAACAACAGCACATGGCCCAACTTCTGTGGGACACAGCAAAGGCAGTTCTAAGAGGAAAGTTTATAGCAATGCAGACCTATTTAAAGAAGGAAAAACAATCCCAAATGAATAGTCTAAAGTCACAATTATTGAAACTGGAAAAAGAAGAACAAATAAGGCCCAAAGTCAGCAGAAGTAGGGACATAATTAAAATCAGAGAAGAAATAAAATTGAGAATAATAAAACAACAGAAAAAATTAATGAAACCAAGAGCTGGTTCTTTGAGAAAATAAACAAAATAGATAAACCCCTGCACAGACTTATTAAGAGAGAAAGAGAATCTACACACATAAACAGAATTAGAAACGAGAAAGGAAAAATCACAACAGTAACCACAGAAATACAAAGAATTATTAGAGAATACTATGAAAATCCATATGCTAACAAACTGGATAACCTAGAAGAAATGGACAACTTTCTAGAAAATACAACCTTCCAAAACTGACCCAGGAAGAAAATGAAAATCTGAACAGACCAATTATCAGCAATGAAATTGAATCAGTAATCAAAAAACTACCCAAGAACAAAATCCCCAGACCAGATGGCTCCATGCTGAATTTTATCAGACATTTAGTGAAGACCTAATACTCATTCTCCTAAAAGGTTGCCAAAAAATAGAAGAGGAGAGAATACTTTCAACTCATCCTATGAAGCCAGCATCACTCTAATACCCAAATCAGGCAAAGACACCACAAAAAAAGAAAATTACAGACCAATATCTTGATGAACATATATGCAAAAATACCCAATAAAAAATTAGCAAACTGAATTAAAAAATACATTAAGAGGATCATACATCATGATCAAATGGGATTCATCCCAGGGATGCAAGGATGATACAACATTTGAAAATCCATCAACATCAATAAAAAGGACAAAAACCAAATGATCATCCATCTCCATAGATGCTGAAGAGCATTTGACAAATTTCAACATGCATTCATATTTATAACAGCCAAGATACGGAAGTATCCTAAGTGTCCATCAGTAGATGAATGGATAAAGAAGATGTGGTACATATATACAATGGAATATTTATTCAGCCATAAGAAGAAAACAAATCCTACCATTTGCAACAACACGGATGGAGCTAGAGAGCATTATGCTCAGTGAAAAAAGTCAGGCAGAGAAAGACAAGTACCAAATGATTTCACTCATCTGTGGAGTGTAACAACAAAGCAAAAACTGAAGGAACAAAACAGCAGCAGAATCACAGAACCCAAGAATGGACTAGCGGTTACCAAAGGAAAAGGGACTGGAGGGGTGTGGGTGGGGAGGGAGGGATAAGAGGATTAAGGGGCATTATGATTAGCGCACATAATATAGGGGGGGCACAGGGAAGGCAGTATAGCACAGAGAAGACAAGTAGTGACTCTGAAGCCTCTTACTATGCTGATGGACAGTGACTGTAATGGGGTATGTCCTGGGGACTTGATAATAGGAGGGAATGTAGTAACGACAAAGTCACTCATGTGAAACCTGGGCATAAGATTGTGTATCAATGATACCTTAATTAAAAAATATATATATAAAATAAAATAAAAATTTCAACATGCATTCATGATAAAAACTCTCAATAAAATGGGTATAGAGAGCAAGTACCTCAACATAATAAAGGCCATTTATGTCAAATCCACAGCCAATATCATACACAACAGTGAAAAGCTGAAAGCTTTTCCTCTAAGATCGGGAACAAGATAAGGATGCCCACTCTCCTCACTTTTATTCAACATAGTACTGGAGGTCCTAGCCATGGCAATCAGACAACACAAAGAAATAAAACGCATCCAGATTGCTAAAGGAGCAGTTAAACTGTCACTATTTGCAGATGACATGATATTGTACATAAAAAACCCTAAAGAATCCACCCCAAGACTACTAGAACTAATATCTGAATTTAGCAAAGTTGCAGGATACAAAGTTAATACACAGAAATCTGTTGCATTCCTATATACTAGTAATGAAACAGCAGAATGAGAAATCATGAAACAATTCCATTCACAATTGCATCAAAAAGAATAAAATAATTAGGAATAAACCTAACCAAGGAAATGAAAGACCTATACCCTGAAAACTACAAGTCACTCTTGAGAGAAATTAAAGAGGACACTAATAAATGGAAGTACATCCATGCTCTTGTGTAGGAAGAATTAATAAAGATAAAATGGCCACCCTGTCTAAAGCAATCTACAGATTCAGTGCAATCCCTATCAAAATAACAACAGCATTCTTCAATGAACTAGAACAAATAGTTCTATAATTTATATGGAACCACAAAATACACTGAATAGCCAAAGCAATCCTGAGAAGGAAGAATAAAGCAGGGGGGATTATGCTCCCCAACTTCAAGCTCTACTACAAAGCCACAATAATCAAAACAATTTGGTACTGGCACAAGAACAGAGCCATAGATCAATGGAATAGAATAGGATATAAACCCACACATATATGGCCAATTAATATATGATAAAGGAGCCATGGATATACAATGGGAAAAAGACAGCCTCTTCAACAGCTGCTGTTGACAAAACTGGACAGCTACATGTAAAAGAACGACTGGATTACTGTGTAACTCCATACACAAAAGTAAACTCAAAATGGATCAAAGGCCTGAATGTAAGTAATGAAACCATAAAACTCTTTGAAGAAAATATAGGCAAAAATCACTTGAATATAAACATGAGCAACTTTTTCATGAAGATAACTCTTCAGGCAAGGGAAACAAAAGCAAAAATGAACAAGTGGGACTACATCAAACTGAAAAGCTTCTGTACAGCAAAGGACACTATCAGCAGAACAAAAAGGTATCCTACTGTATGGGAGAATATATTCATAAATAACATATCTGATAAGGGGTTGACATCCAAAATATATAAAGAACTCACATGCCTCAACAACCAAAAAGCAAATTAACCAATTAAAAAATTGTCAGAGGATCTGAACAGATACTTCTCCAAAGAAGAAATTAAGATGGCCAACAGGCACATGAAAAGATGCTCCACATTGCTAATCATCAGAGAAATGCAAATTAAAACCACAATGAGACATCACCTCATACCAGTTAGGATAGTCCATATCCAAAAGACAAGCAACAACAAATGCTGGCGATGCTGTGGAGAAAGGGGAACCCTCCTACACTGCTGGTGGGAATGTAAATTAGTTGAACCATTGTGGAAACCAATATGGAGGTTCCTCAAAAAACAAAAAATAGAAATACCATTTGACCCAGGAATTCTACTCCTAGGAATTTACCCTAAGAAAAGAGGATCACAGATTCAAAAAGACACATGCACCCCTATGTTTACTGCAGCACTATTTACAATAGCCAAGAAATGCAAGTAACCTAAGTGTCCATCAGTAGATGAATGGATAAAGAAGAGTTGGTACATATACATAATGGAATATTATTCAGCCATGAGAAGAAAACAAATCCTACCATTTGCAACAACATGGATGGAGCTAGAGGGTATTATGCTCAGTGAAATAAGCCAGGCGGAGAAAGACAGGTACTAAATAATTTCACTTATCTGTGAGGTATAACAACAAAGCAAAAACTGAAGGAACAAAACAGCAACAGACTCACAGAACCCAAGAATGGACTAATGGTTACCAAAGGGAAAGGGACTGGGGGGCGGTGGGTGGGAAGGGAGGGATAAGGGGTTTAAGGGGCATTATGATTAGTACACATAATATAGGGGAGGGGCATGGGGAAGGCAGTATATCACAGAGAAGACAAGTAGTGACTCTGCAGCATCTTACTATGCTGATGGACAATGACTGAAATGGGGTATGTCGTGGGGACTTGATAATAGGGGGAAATGTAGTAACCACAGTGTTGCTCATGTGAAACCTGAGCATAAGACTGTATATCAATGATATCCTAACAAAAAAATTGCTTAAATATTAAAAGTACCTTTCGTGCCAATGGGATACTCAGTTCAGTGCACATACTATTTAAACTCTTCAAAATTCTTTTTTCCCAACTTCCCTGAAATATAAGAAACAATCTGTTATTATTTTTGTTAACAATATCAAAAATGAGTTTAAAAGAATTAAAAATATCATGAATTATATGGAAATGGTAAGGTTGGTTGAGATTGGTTACCATCATTCATTAGTCCACTCAAAAAATACTGGATACTGCTCACTATGTACCAGATATCCTCAGTGCTATAATTTAAACCATGGCTAATAGAAAGTCTCAGTCCTCATAAAACTGATGTTGTAATGGAGAATGGGAATGACATAGGTAAAAATAAATAAACCAAATCACAGGCCAATAAAAATTATAAGGAAAAATAGCAGATAAAAAGGGAAATTCAACTTAAGCATTCTATAAGTATTTAATATTCAGGAATCCTATTAATGACCTAGTAAAAAATACAATTTTATAGAAATTATTATAATGTTATTTTTCCAGACACAACATTTTATTCCTAAATACCTCAGCATAAACATTCTAAGACTCTTCTGGTATATAACTACAACACTACTATCACACCTAAATAGAGTAACAAGAATATTCCATATCATCTAATATTTGCTTCATATTTACAATTTTTCAATTATCCCCAAAATGACATTTTTAAAAATCCAGAATCCATTAAAAATCCACACACATTATTTTTGGTTGTTATGTCTCTTTCAGTGTAGTTTAATCTAGAGTCTTTTTGTCCTTTTCTTCTTTGTAATATTGACTCTTTTTGAGGAGTTTAGGTCAGTTGTCTTTTAAATTGTGTCATAATCTGGATTTTCCTATTTTTTTCAGAGTATTGATTACCTTCTCTATCCCCAAATTTCTTATAAACTTTAATATTAACACCTTGAATAGTCATGGATTATCTATGTGTATTTATCATTTTTTAGTTAACTATTTTTTAATGCCAAGTTAAAAATGCCATAATTTTTTGTTTTTTTACTAAAATATTCCTACAGATCACTTCTTACTCACTGAAACCAAAATAAAATAATACTAAAGCTCCAACATTTAGACTAAATGAGAACATTATTCATAAAGGGTAGTTATAACCAGTCAATAAAAGTAGAATAATAACAGCTCCATTATGTGGTATTAAAAAGATTAAAGATATGAAGTGCTTTGAACAGTGGAATAATAATAATATTCAACAACTGACAGTTTTTAGTATAGCTATCATTACTCATAGCTTCTTTACACATATTTAAATACATCATTCTTTATCTGGAATATACCCTCCATGCTCTACTCCTAATCTCAACATACTTATTTGTACTTGTACTGTATCTTATTCACCTTTCAGATATTCATCTCTAGTAAGCCTTCTTTCACTATTCGCTACTCCAAGTGGTATTAGGTGTCTTCGTTTTGAGTTCTCACAGCAGCCCTTCTTTCACCTATCATGGCACATAATTTACTGCATGTAGCACATAACACGTGCTCATAATTGAACAGATTTCTACTCTAGGCAATGTTGTGGACATTTTTTAAATTTTGATACAATGGCCTAAGCAATGAATGAAAAAAAAATCATTGATACAAGAAATAGAGCTGTGTGAAATGTATAAGGCTTAGTTTACTAAAATTATAGTACATATACATCAAGGCAGTAACTAAAGCAAATACAAGTAACCCTGAAAACAACCTGAAGACTGAAAAAACAGACCATCTACACCTGGTAAAGAAGATAAAACCACACTGAGAAGGTTAAAGTGGCAGAGCTGTGATCAGTTGGGACCCAAGCCCCTCCACCATCCAAGTCCACAAGTGGAAGAGAGAGAAACGGAATGGGAAAGGGTAAACGCTCAGGAATCCAGCACACCTAGCCCTAGATATCTGCTCCAGAAATACAATGAGTCCACATAGCATTGGACTTTGGTGATTAACAGGGCTGGACACCAGGGATAGTTGAGTACTATGGGAGGCCGAAACTCCTGTCACTTGTGAAAGACAGGCACATTCATTGGTTCTGCTGAGATCCAACACAGAGGTAGCAGTCTGAAAGGCTATCAGCAGCAGGAAGTGTGCCAGGGGGGTGCCAGACTATGCTTTCCTAGGCCTCCCTCAGCCCTACTGCTCAGGCGCTCACAGGAAACAACCCCAAACACTCCATCTCCTTCCTGGTATCTCAACCCCAAAGCAGCAATTTCCTGCACACCTGCCTCACCCAACCCTCTCAGCCCAGCAGCAGTACAACTATGTTGCCTGGCAGGTGAAGGGAGGACACTTTTTGGTATTCCTAGCTTTCCTTCAGCCCAAGTGTGGTGCTCAAAGGAGCCATGTCTAAGCTGTCTAGCTCCCTCATTGGAAGCTCAGCACCCCAGGCAGTCTCCCCTGTGCACCCACCCCACCTGGCCAGCTGGAACCAGCAGTGGCTGCCCTTGTTGATCAGCAGGCAAAGAAGGGCCCTGCCCACAATGAATCCCAACAGAAGTGCTTCATGTCACACGAAGGGCACCCAGAGGTGAGTTGTCAGCCTCTGCTGACAAAGATCAGCCACTGCTGGCAGACATTCAGAAAGGTGGCCCCACAGCCAACCAGAAGCAACTGAGGCTCCACAACAGAGGAGAATCAGGCATTGGTGAAGAAGGAGTCTTGAGTTTCTAGGCATCAAAGAATTCCTACTTCATATAGCTCTTACTTTCTATATCAGGAGGAATAAATGATCTATGTAATATAAAGGAAGAAACACAGAAACACAGATAAAATGATGACAGAGAGAAATACATTCCCAACAAAAGGACAAGACAAGAAACAAGAAAAAGGGTTTAATGAAATGTAGGTTAGCAATCTTCTTGATAAATATTTCAAAGTAACAGTCATAAAGATCCTCACTGAACTTGGATAAAGAATTGATGATCTCAGCGAGAATCTCAACAAAGAGATAGAAAATATGAAAAAGAGCCACCCAGAGCTGAAGAATACATAACTGATGAAAATACGATGGAAGGAATGAATAGTAGACTGCTGGAAGGGGAAAGATCAAAGTGATGAAAGATAGACAACATAAAAGTAACCAAGCTGAGGAACAAAGGAGAAATAATTCCTAAAAATGAGAAGAGGTTAAAAGCTGTATGAAACTCCAAACAAAACAATATTTGTATAATAGAGATTCCAGAAGGAGAAGAAAGGAACAAAGGAATAGAAAGTCTCTTTGAAGAAATAATAGCTATCTGGGAAAGGAAACATACACCTGGGTCCTGGAAGTACAGAGAACCCCTAAAAAAGAAGCCCCAGGAAGACAACACCGAGACATATAGTAATTAAAATGGAAAAGATTAAATATAAAGAGAGCATCTTAAAAGCAGCAAGAGGCAGACAGTTACTTATAAAGGAAACTCCATAAGGCTATGAACAGATTTCTCAAAAGAAACGTTACACACTAGAAGGCAGTGGCATGAAATATTTAATGTATTGAAAGGGAAGAACTTACAACCAATAATCTTCTACCTGGCATGGTTATCATTCAGAATAGAAGGGGAGATTAACCTGAGATTAAATTCACAATGACTAAACTGGTCTTACAGGATATGTTAAGCATCTATATGCTGCCTACAAGATACTCACTTCAGACCTAAAGACATACATAGACTCAAAGTGAAGGGATGGAAAAAGAGATTTCATGTAAGTAAAAGGGAGAAAAAAGCAGGAATAGCAGTACTTATATGAGAAAAATTGACTTTAAAACAAAATAAGAAGAGACAAAGAAGAACATTACATAATGAGAAAGAGATCAGTCCAATAAGAGGATATAACAATCACAAGTATCTCTGCACCCAACATAGGAGCACCTAATATGTAAAACAAATACTAACAGACCCTAAGGGAGAAATAGCAATACAATCAATCTCAGGAGATTTTAACACACAACTTACACCAATGGACAGATCATCCAGACAGAAAATAAATAGGAAAGCAAAGGTCTTGAATGACACATTAGACCAGATGACTTAACAGATATCTACAGAACACTCTACCCAAAAGAAGCAGGATACATATTTTTCTTAAGGGCATATGGAATGCTCTCCAGCATAGTTCACATATTAGGACACAAAAAGGGCCTCAATAAACTTAAAAAGATTATAATTGTATCAAGCATCTTTTCAGATCACAATGGTATGAAACTAGAAACAATTACATGAAGAAAACAAAATAAAAACCACAAACAAATGGAGGCTAAACAACATGCGTCTAAATAATCAATGGATCAATGAACAAAGAGAAAATCAGCAATACATGGGGACAAATGAAAACAAAAACAGTTCAAAATATGTGGGATACCACAAAAGCAGTTCTAAGAGAGAAGTACATAGCAATACAAGCCTACCTCAAAAAACAAGAACAATCCCAAATAAACTCACAACTAAAAGAACTAGAAAAAGACAAATGAGACCCCAAGTTATTAGGAGGGAGATAATAAGGATCAGAGCAGAAATAAATAAAAATGGAGAATAAGAAAATATTAGAAGAATAATCAGTGAAACTAAGAGGTGGTTCTTTATGATAAACAAAAGAGACAAACAGCCAGTCTTATCAAGAAAAAAAGAGGACACAAATAAATAAAATCAGAAGTGAAAAAAATAGTTACAATAGACACCACAGAAATACAAAGAATTATTATTAAAGAATTCTATGAAAAATTATTTGCCAATAAATTTGACAACCTAGGAGAAATGAGCAAATTCTTAGTAATGTACAGTCTTCCAAGACTGACCCAGGAAGAAACAGAAAATCTGAACAGACCAATTACCAGTAACAAAATTGAACTGGTAATAAAAAAACTACTAACAAACAAAATTCCAGGACCAGATGGCTTCACATCTGAATTCTACCAAACACTTAAAGAAGGGTTAATACCAATCCTTCTTAAAGTATTCCAAAAAATAGAACATGAGGGAACACTCCCGAATTCATTCAATGAGGTTAGCATCACTCTAATACCAAAACTAGACAAAGACAATACAAAAAAAAAAAAAAAAACAATTACAGACCAATATCCCTGAACCTAGGTG